CTCTTAGGAGGTTCAGGCAGGAGGATTGTTAGTTTGAGGGCAGTCTGGGTGAGGGTGAGACTCTGTCTTTAAAAACACAAAACAAAACAACTAGGAAGGGATAGGAAAGGAGACGGCTCAGTGAATAAAGTACTTGCCTAAGGACATGTGTTTGGATTCCCAACACCCAAATGAAAAGCCAGGCTTGGTAGCATGTGCCTGTAATCCCAGCACTAGGGGAATTACAGGCAAAGAGACAGGTAGATCCTGAGAGTTCACTGGCCAGCCAGTTTAACCAAAATGGTGAGCTTTGGGTTCAATAAGAGACCCTGTCATGAAAACTAAGGTGGAGAGTGGTAGAGGAGGACTCCTACTCTCAACCTCTGGCTTCCACATATATACACACAGATGTGTACACATGCATATACACATATACCACACACAGAAATAACCAAGGGAATATAACTCAATGGTAGAGCACATCACATCACTGAAAAAAAAGTCATAGGAAGGCAGACCTTCAATATTAAAATGTTACGATATTTGGGGGAGCCCATTTGAAAAAAATTATCAGAAAGAGTATCTGTGCCTTTCTAAGAAAGCTAGAAACAGTGAAAGCCCAGAGAAGAAAAAAAAGTGTTAAATTGTCCTGAATCCTACCGTGCAGAGTGGGGACTCTCCTGACACAAGGATCCATGTGTTTAACAGAATCACAGCACCTCCAGAACAGGAAGCTCTCAGCTGCGGTCATCAGTCCTCAGCACAACGCTAGGAAGTAGAAGTTATCTCTATGATTAAACTAGGGCTTAAGAGACGGAATAACTTGCCAAACGTCACAGGGCTAGTGACTGGCGAGTGGGCCCCCATCCTAAGCCTGTCCTTGCCATTTCTGTTATACCAATTGCCTCTCTTTCGAGGAAATCAGTGCAGACAGCTAGCTTGCTTCCATGGTCCTAGAGTTGACTTGTTAACTATTTTCATATACCTCCTGCTTCTGAATTTTGATTTCCTATTGTCATTCCTAGAAGGGGAGCTGATGTATCTGCCCATTTGACAACTCTGCTTGTCATTGTACATCTGTAGGTGGTATTCTGATTTTGTCCCTAGTCTAATGTGAACAGGGCTGTGAACCTGGGTTAGTATGGGTTAGCATTCTGTAACTGCAGAGATCTGACATATTGCCCTTTAGTTAACCCCCACAGTACCATCCTCGGTCTAGTCTTTCTCCAGGCCCAAGGAGCCAATTTCTGACACAGCTGACGTTGTCTCCTCCAGTTTCTCATTTTCTTCCCAGTGTGGCTGTCTTGGGCAAACTCATCCTGTTGGCACTTTATTTCAGTGGTGGGTCTACAAAGACTGGTTTACCTACTTGGTACTACTCTTACATTCTGCACTCCCTCTACATTTTGGCTGCTGATGGAATTCTGACTTTTTTTTAAGCATAATTGATAAATTTATTATGGGCCCACAAGTTTACATATAAATCAATGAATAGGCTTACATTACCCATATTGTGTATGCTTTAAATGTTCAGCATTTAAATGTTCTAGATTATATAACTAGAAAGACAAACCACTGATTCTACAGTCATTTTTATAGTAGTTACCACTTATCTACAGTTTCACTTTCCATGGGTGCCTGCAATGAACCATGGTCCAAAGATGTTAAGTGGAGCATTCCATAAATAAACATGTCATACATCCTGAAGTGTTCTAAGTACTGCAGTGAAATCTGGTGCTGTCCCACTTCTTCCAGGGACAGAATGGTCCCTTGTGCAGTGTATCCACACTATATGCACTACCTGCCTGTGAGTGACTTAGTCGCCATCACAGTTGTCACCAGCCTCTGTGACAGCACAGTGCTTGTCTTCAGGTCATCTTTATTTTACTTCATAATGGCCCAAAGTGCAAGAATAGTGGTGCTGGTGACTCAGATATGCCAAAAAGAAGCTGTAGAGTGCTTGCTTTAAGTAAGAATATATGTGTATCTAGGGGAAAACAGTATGTGTAGGGCTCAGTGCTGTCACTGGGTTCAGGCATCTAGTGGTGGCCTTGGAACAAATGCCCCCTCAGATAAGGACAATTTCTCTATATTGGCTGCTCTGTAGGAACAGTTTGTTCAGAAGGCCTCACTCAAGATTTCTACCACCTGACACCAGTAAGGTGTCAGCAATAGTAAACTGAATTGGATTAGATTAGATTAGATTCATTGATTAAAGGTACCTCTATAATGTCTTTCAATTCATAGATTGGTTTTAATTTGTTTAGCCTGAGGCATGGCTGTTAGAAAGATTCCATCAGGGCTGGAGCGATGGCTCAGCAGTTAAGAGCATTGGCTGCAGGGGACTGGGGTTCAGCTCCCAGCATCCACATGGTAGCTCACAGCCACCCATAACTCCAGTTCCAGGCAATCTGACCCCCTCTTCTGACCTCCACAGGCATTGCCCGCATTGATGCATTTTACAGATGTGCAGGCAAAACACTCATACACACAAAATAAAAATAAATAAAATTAAATGCTATCAGGGGCTGATTATGATGGCTCATGCCTTTGATCCCAGCACTCGGGAGGCAGAGGCAGAACTCTCTATGAGTTCCAGCCCAGCTGGAACTGTCTCAAAAAAAAAACAAAAACACAGAAACAAACAAAAAAAGGAAATGCTATGAGAAGGTGGGTGTGATGGCACACACTTAAAGAGTTGAGGCAAAAAGATCAAAAGTTTAAGACTAGCCTGGGTTACATTGCAAGTTCAAGGCCAGCCTGGGCTATATAACCTCACTCAAAAACATTAAAACAAAACAATAAGGACATATTATTTGATTCTAGGTGTCTCCTGATCAGAAAGATCTCCCTAGTCAGGCAGACTAGTTATGGGAGCTCCAAATCCTGGGACCTTACAGAAGGATTGACTCAGCAGCCTCGAGGCTCATGTTCTTCTGACAACACCACTGAGGTGGCCCAGAGGGTCTCAGCATGTGAAGGAAGATGCTGTAGAGGAACTCAGTAGTGTGGCAGAGCAAACCCAAAAATGAACATGTTGCACATAGCGTAGAATTCAAAATAATAAGCACTAAGCTCTCCCTAGAATGTCAGGTGAGGGCTGAGGGGTGTGGCTCAGTGGTAAAGCACTTGCCTAGCATGTATAGGGACCTGGATTCAATGCAGAGGGAGACGAAGAAGAAAAGGGGTTTGTGGGATGGAGGAGAGAGGAAGGGAAGTGAGTGGGGGTAGGGAGGGAAGACAGAAAGAAAGAATTCTCATTTTTTCCAGGTCATCCAGTGGAGGTCACTGGGTTACTTTATTAGAACTAGGTTTTTTTGCCTGTTACGTTAGTATCCCTGATAGATTTTTGTCTAATGGTTTTAGGCAATGCTAAGATATAAAATGCTATTTGACAGGTAAAGTAGGCGATGGATGAATCTGGTTGATTGGGAGAAAGCACTAGGACACAGATAAAACTCCAGCAGAATAGAGTTTATTATCAAAGGAACACGTGTGACAGATTCCCTTCTGGGCAGGGAAAATGTCTGCCCGGGGTCGTGAGCTGGGGTCTTTTATAGGGGGAGGCTTCTGGGGAGTGCAGAAGGCGGGAAGATATATATACACTTTTTAAAGTTAGGTGGGTGGAAGTGGGAGAGCAGGACTGTTAAAACCTGCCTCCTTTAGAGATCAAAGGGGAAGCCTGTTGTGTTGGCCAAACAGTGGAGCAAAGTCTGCTTCTCTTGACTTCAAAGACCAGGGTGCTTATTAACTTGGCTCCCTTTTCTCAGGGGCTTGCAAGGTCCATGAGGCCCTGTCGGTAAGGGGGTGGGGCTATCTGAACCCTAACACTATTTAGATATTATGTTCAAGACAATAACTCCAGAGACTTCTGAAGCATCCAGTTTTCATTTCATGGTGAGGAGGTTTATTCCTAAATTTAAAAGAAAAAAAAAATAGTATCCCTGTGATGGTTAGCTTGTAACTGTTAACTTGCACAAAGCATGTGATTACATGGACTGGAATCTCAGTGCGAAATGTCTAAATTGGGTTGGCCTGTGGGGATGCCTCAGAGATTTTCTTCATTGGGTCAGTTGAGGTATGAAAACCCACCTGAATGTGGGCATCATCATTTCATAGGTTGGGCCCTGTGCTGAATGAAAAAGAGGCAAACTGGACACCAGCATGCAGCAGTTCACTGCACTTTGGTCTTGACTGTGAATGTCAGGTGTGCTGTTCTCTCTGCCCCTGCTGCTGTGACTTCCCATAATGATGGAACCATAAACTAAAATAAACCCGTTCTCCCCCAAATCACTTTCATCAGGATATGTTACCACAACAGGAAATGAAACCAAAACCAAATGGAAAATACCCAGTGTCTCTATTTGTCTCCAGTGTGCTTATTGGAGCTAACTGAATGCCTTGTTTTCTAGAGCATTCATCTGTAGAAGCTACATGAGGAAAGTTCAGGTTTGCAAAGTTTTTGGCATTTCCCTTACCTTACAAATTTATTTAGCAGCCGTTAGACTTATGTACATGTCAGACTCCTCAAGCCATTGATGTCAACAGTAGCACTAAAAGTGGTCCATTGATACTCAGCTCTTCTGAAAGTCCTAACCCAAAGTCCCTTGTCCATTCTTAAATCTCTCTCTCTCTCTCTCTCTCTCTCTCTCTCCATCCCTCTCTTTTTTTTTGAGACAGGGTCTCCCTGTAGCCACAGCTGGCCTGGAACTCACTATGTAGGCCAGGCTAGACTCGATCTCACAGAGATCTGCCTGCCTCTGCCTCCTCAGTACTGGGATTAAAGGCATGCACCACCACACCCAGCCTGGCTGAAAATCTTTATAAAATGTTTTCCATTGGGTCACAGCTAAGGTATAGAATATTTAAGCTGATACTAGACAACAATCCCCTAGTGCTGAAATTTCCCACATGAGTAGATATAGTAAAAATAGACTTGAATCATGGTTCCAATTGGACTTTCTATTTTGAGTTACATGAATTTTTGCCTCTATTATTAATACCGTTTCCTTTTATTTCAGTGGTCCAGACATGGATGGGAAGAAATGCAGTGTATGGATGTTTCTACCGCTTGTATTTACTTTGTTTACTTCAGCTGGATTGTGGATAGTGTGAGTACACTTAGTTAATAATTTAAGGATTTAAGCTGGGCATGGTGGCACAGCACTCAGGAGGCAGGTGGTTCGCTGTGAGTTCGAGGCCAGCCTGGTCTACATAGCGAGTTCCAGGCCAGCTGGGGCTACAGGGAAACCTTGTCTCAAAAAGGCCAAAAGTAAATAAATAAATAAATAAATAAATAAATAATAATTTAAGGATTTGAGTGCAATGCAGAGGGAAACAAAGGTTTGATAGTATATGACATATCTGTATGAATGTATTTTTACTTTATATATATATAAACCTTGTTAAATTCCCTATGTCTTTTCTCATCTTTTGTTACTCAAAGTAAAATAGTAACAATAATATGTTATGCAAAATAGATTATCAAGAAGACTAGGTTGTTTTGTCTTCTTTCTTCCTCCTCTTCTTCCTTCTCCACCTCCTCTTATTCTTTCTCCTCCTTTTCCTCCTCCTCCTTCTTCAAAACAGGATCTTGCTATGTAGCCCAGACCAGTCCATAACTTGCTATGTAGACTAGGCTGGCCTTAAAGGTGCAACAATCCTCCTTTACCTCTTCTTCCACTGTGCTAAAATAATAGGCATATAACACATTTATTTATTTATTTATTTGTTTATTTATTATTTATTTACTTATATTGAAAGAGTCTCACTCTGTAGCACAGGTTGGCCTGGAGCTCATGCTGGGATGACTGACCTGTACCACTGTAATGAACATTTTGTAAACTGGCTATATGAATTCATATTTGCAAGATGTTCTCATTTGACACTGATGCGCTATGGCATCCATTCACAATCTAGTTGTGACAAGATCTGATATGTTTATAAAATGAAGTCTTGGCCTATCTGCATTTTCTTATTTCAAACAGTATTATTCACCTTAGGAGAGTTCATGAAGAATAGCAACCATTGGACTAGGGCTATAGCTCAGTGGGAAAGTGCTTGTCTAGCATGTACAAGGCCCTGACCTCAATCCCCAGTAGTGAAAAGGAAGGAGGGGAAGAAGAATAGAGGAAAGGAGGGAGGGAGGGACAGACAGACAGAGGGAGGAAGGAAAGAATAATGGTTACATATTCCCAAGAAATTTGATTAAATTTATGATTTTTTTTTATTTCTAGTTTCCAGATTATAATCATTACCATTACATCAGGGTGTCTTTTGAAAATTAAGGAACTACTAACATAGTATCTGAGCTTTACAAAAAACTATATGATCTATGGGTAAAGAATCACAGTTGGCAGGGTGCAGTGGTACACACATGTAATAGGAGGATCATAAATTTAAGGTCAGGCTACATAGAAAATTCCAGGCTAGTCAGGGTCTTAATGAGATCCTGTCCCAAAAAGAAAAATAAATGTAGTTAAAGAGCTTTTTCTGGTTCTTTTTTTTTTTGGTTGTTTGGTTGGGTTTTGTTGTTTTTTTTTTTTACTTTATGTGTATGAGTGTAATACCTGCATGTATGTAAGTGTACCTGAGTTGAGCAATGCCCACGGAGGTCAGAAAATGGCATCAGATCCCCTGGAACTGGAGTTACAGACGGTTGTTAGCTACCATGTGGGTGCTGGGAATTGAGCCCAGGTCCTCTACAAGAGCAGCCAGTGCTCTTAACCACTGAGCCATCTCTCCAGCCACTTGGTTGGTTGTTTTTTTTTTTGTTGTTGTTGGGGGTTTTTTGTTTTGTTTTGGTTTGGTTTTGCTGTTGTTGTTGTTGTTTTGGGGGGGGGGTTTGAGATAGGATGTCATGTAGCCCAGATTGGTTTTGAACTCCCTATGTACCTGAGGATGACCTTGAATTCCTGATCCTACTGCCTCTACTTCCCAAGCACTAGGAGTAAAGCTTTTTTGTGTGCCAACATGCCTAGCTAAAGAGCATTTTCTTAGTTACAAAGAATGAGTTTGATTTGGTACATTGAACCTAATTAAACTGAAAAACATCACTCCTGGGGTTGTTTGTTTAAAACTGATTTATTTTATAAACTGATCATTCTCTATTGCCAGGTACTTTATAGCTGTGGAAGATGACAAAATTTTACCATTAAATTCAGCTGCAAGGTAAAGTTTGTCTTTGGAGAATTCATTGTTATCCACAGATTTAGCAGAAAGTTTACCACTGGTGGGGCTGACCTGCCTCTGCTTTAACTTGAGCCTCTGTGTTTTTTGTTATCCAGGAAATCTGGTGGGAAACATGCTCCATACATCAGGTAACTATGGGTCCTCCTGAACTGTTGGACTTAGGAAAACTTGAAACTGACAGAGTTTAATATAGAAACTGTAAGACATTTCATCTTTTTCCAGTTTTGCAGGTGATGATCCTCCTGCAAGCTGTGTGTTTAGTCAAGTCCTGAATATGGCTGCATTCCTAGGTAAGATGAATGGAAATGGTTCATTACACACTCTGCTACGTTTCTATTTTAAATTCTCCTAAATCCATATCAAAACATGGGAGACCTAGTTGATAATTTAGTATCATGTCATGTCAATATGCTGAAGGCAGCCTTTTGTTCTAAGTGGGTTCCCCTCCTCATAAGCCTTTTACATCCCCCTGCTTGCCTTCCATTCGCTCCCCTTTACCATTTTTATCATTTCTGCATACTCTAAACTTTATTTCTTTTGCTGCATGAAATAATATATTTCATGTGGTCATAAAATCTTGCTGTGAGTGCAATACACAGTTGCTTTGAAAAGGATGTCTTATTTATTCCTTCAATGGCACAGATGGGAAAATGGGTGGGTTCCGTGATAAATACTGTTGTGTGTAGCATGACACCCTCCTGTGTGCCTACATACATATCAGGTTGGAAATGAAGTAGGTTTAAGAAAAAATATCATATGTGGCCCTAGGTCCCCATAATTTCTTCAGGTCCCAAGACCATCTTTTAACATCCTGTCCCTCCGCCCCCAGATCTGCAAGTGCTTGTATGACCCTGTCAGTCCCTAGAGATGGTGGGAAACAGCCATGCTTTCTCTCTCCTGTTTAATCTACCTTGTATACCATGCCCTCCAAGCCAGGCCTTCCCCACATCTTACAAAGGGTAAGCTAGTTAGCTGTCACTGTTGGCATGCTGTGGGACAGAACCAGGGACAGCTCAACATTCCCATAGTTTTTGAGGAATGGTTTTTTGAATGGTAAGACTTCCATTCTAAGCAAGAGATGCAGATGGTGTTGCAAAGACAATATTGAGCTTTTGAGGTACTTACCCCCACATCTATGTATGTCAACTACATATCTTTTCCTCACCTCTCAAAAAAAGGATTTCTACTACTAATGTGTGCCCTACTCCTTTTTATGATACAAGATCTCATGTTGCCCAAGCTGGCCTCAAACTCGCTGTGCAGCCAAGGATGACCTTGAATTGCTGATCCTCCTGTCTCCATCTCCTGTGTGGTGGGATTACAGACATGCACCACCATGCACCGTTTATGTGGTGCTGGGAATCAAACCTAGCAAACACTACCAACTGAACCATATCCCCATATCCTCAGACCTTTATAGTGTATATTTCTTTTTCTTTTTCTTTCTTTTCTTTTTCTTTTTTTTTTAGGCAGGATTTAATTTAGTTCAGGCTATCCTTGAACTCGCTATGTATCAGATGACCATAAACTCCTGATCCTCCTGCCTCCATCTCCCAAGTTCTGGGATTACCGCCCTGTGTACTTTTTTAAATGTCTGCTATAGGAAAGGGAGGAAATATAAAACTCACTGGAAGATTGTCAGTCTACTATGTAACACAGGCAAAATCTTAGTTCAAAAAGCTCAAACCATGAGAAACATGAGGGTCATTTCCAGAGAAGGATTCTGAACAGGGTTCCTCTGAGGTTAACAAGATTTCTCCCTGGAGCTAAGCGTATTTTTGTCAGTGCCTTTCTCTGCCCAGGCTTCACCCAAGCTGGAAGAGTCTGGGAGGCACAGACCACTCACAAACACTAAGAGGTTAAGCACTCTGTTGTTGGAATTGCTGAATCCCTTAGCAGCATTTATTTCCTGTGCCTGACAGTGAGAGTTTCCATTCCCAGATCTTCATAAGTATTGAATGGCACAGCACTTATACAAGTGTCTCTGTGTGACCAAGGCTGATCAGAGTCAGCTGTTTGACTGTCGGGGTCCTTAGCCTCAGAGCCGCCAGGGGCTTTACACTTACTCCTTCTTCCTACTTTTGACACAAATGGCTGCTAAGGAATGCTTGCAGTCAGGAGCACACAAAGTCCCATGAGTGAACCTTTAACTGCAGAGTTGGGGCCTTCCACATACCCTTTGCAATCACTGCACATAGGCCTACGAATCACAACCTCTGCTCCGATCATCCTCCAGGGCCCAATACAGACATCAACAGCCTTCATTTCTGTTCCAGACCCAAGGCTGAGTGCTTTCTAAACACTGCCTCATTTAGTCATGATGCATAGGAGCCTGCTTTTATGAAAAGATGTCACAGGCTGTCCTCCATGGGGCTTTAAAGAATCCAACAAATGCTCTGGAAGCTGCACGTTGCTTCCTCTGTGTTCTGCTGGCAAATTGATCTCCCCAATAGTCTTTATTGTAGAGTCTTTAAAAAAATCCAGTTTGTATAGTTCACAAGTTATGTAGTTCTGAAGAGTATGATTACCTAATTATAAAAGTGTTTGCAGAAAGTGACAGTGAAAGCCAGTTCTCCTCTTTCAAGTGACATTTGTCATCACTTCATTCCCAGTTCTTCCTGCTCCACCAAGAAGCAATTAAGCTTTTACCAGATCTTGCTTGAAGGTTTTGCAATAGCCAGTGTTTAGTTTTTATTACCTTTCATCATTTTCAGTGCCATCTGTTGGCACAAAACTGATTAAGATTAGTGTTCAGTGAGCAAACTAGCAATTATTTGTTTATCAACTCTGGGAATGGAAAAGAATCCATTTCCTAAATATTCTTGCCACACACGATGGGTGCTTTCTTCTCCCTGGGTCTGTCTGTCCCTGTTAGACCTTAGACAATTATTACTTTAGACTCTATAACTGGCTTTAAGAAATAGCCTTCATTATCTATAAGTAACTGCTTTCAATAGCCACATATGGTATAATTTATAGTCTGAAAATGAGTCAATGTGATGTTTATTAAAATTAGTTAGCAAAGATCTTTTATCTTTCTGACAGGCTAATCAAAGATTGAATGTTCAGTTATTTTCTTCACAGAATTAGCTGTACTCTTTGTCCTAAACCTATACTTTTTCCTTTCCGCCAGAGGGGGAAAAAAGACCTAAGACAAATTTGTTGAAAGGAATGTTATTTCCTGCCCTGGGGAAGTTATGAAGATAAAGCTAATCACTGAATGATTTCAGTCACCTAATAGCAGCCGCCTTCCCTCCTTCAGCCAAAACATATTGACTGTCGTGTTTTACTGCAGTCATAAATAGGAATTATTGATGTATAAACAGTAAAACTAAACTAAGTAAAAAAGAAGTTGGCCAGGCACCAGTTTAGAACTGCAGCAGAAAGATGTTATTCTGAGTTTCCAACTTGAAAAATGCAATCAGTCCTCAAATTTAAACATTTAAAGTTTTTTTTAAATATATTTTTTAATTTTTTTATGTGTATAAGTGTATTGCCTGCATGTGTGTAAGTGCACCTGTGTCATGCAGTGCCCTCACAGGTCAGAAGAGGGTGTCGGATCTCCTGGAACTGGAGTTAAAGACAGTTGTTAGCAGCCATGTGGGTGCTGAGAATCTAACCCGGGTCCTCTGTAAGAGCAGTCAGTGCCCTTAACCACTGAGCCATCTCTCCAGTCCCTGAACATTTAAATTTTTTAAATCAGTTGTTTTTCTGTCTGTGCTTTTTAAAAATATACAGGAAAATTAAATAGGGACACCTGTATATCAATAGTGTTATACATGCCAAAAATAGCAGAATAGTAGGTTTATATATTCTTTTTTCTAAAGCTATTAGTAAAAATCTAATTTTTATAAATTTTTTGCTGAATTTTTGTGTATTTCACACATAAAATCACTTTATACTTCCCCTTTAGCACCCTCCCATAGCCCCCCCCCCGGGGGTTCCTACATTCTGTCATTTGTATTAAGGCTTATTATGTAAAGTTAGTGTCCCAAGATGTCCCTCAGTGCAAGTTCATCCACCGGGATTTAGTCAGCCTATCTAGAGTCTCTCCCTTCAAGAAGATCAGCTCTTCCACACCTAGCAGTATTCAGCTGCCAATAATTCTTCAACTATGGTTGGGGCTTGCTGTTCATTTCCACAGTTCTGTGCTGGATTTTTGTCTGCCTAAATTTGCACAGGTCTTGTGCATGCTGACACCATTGCTGTAGGTTTATATGAGAAGGGAAGCCACTTCTCCTGAAGGCTAGCTCTCATAGCTTTGGAGAGCACTATGCAAGCTGATAAGGAGGAACATCAATCAGTGGTCCAACCCCAGCTCCAAGGCCTGAAAACCACATCACTGACCAGCACAGCAAACACTGGTGCAGTAGTGGCACTTTTATCTTGGGGGTGATCAACAGCTGCCTAATTGGACTTAAAGCCCACTCAATGAGAAGAAACTCATGTCTTAGAGGTCATAGAGCTTAGAGAAAACCCCAAGGCTCTCATATTCCTAGACTAATATAATTTCTTACTATTTGCAAAATATGGATCCTTAAATTTATAGACAAGTATCTCAGTCGCCACCCATCAAAGTAGCTTCTTTTTCAACAGACAGAGATTATTACAGAGTTATACTACTGGTCACACACAGAGATTCTCTGTGAGTTGCCAAAGCCTAAGTGGCACATCCAGGATGCAACCTCTACACCTAAAAATCTGATTATATCTTATTTGTCTGTGTGTGTGTGTGTGTGTGTGTGTAGGCATGCACAAGTCACTACATGAAGCACGTGGCAGTAAGAGGACAGCTAGGGAGAGTTGGTTCTCTCCCTCCACCATGTGAGTCCTGGGGATCAAACTCAGGTGGTCAGACTTGGTGGCAAGCACCATGACCCACTGAGTCATGTTATTGGCCCAAAATTGAAGAAAATAAAATTTAAGTTTAATGAAGAGCAATTTATCTTTTATTTCACTTGTTGCTTCTGTTTTTAGGGCCAGATCAGAGGTCATCAAGATTTGTTCTTCTGTTTTCATCTAACCGTGTTACAATTATAGCATTTATATTTAGGTTATTGATCCAGTGTGGATTGATTTTTGTACATAGAATACATAGAATGAGGCACAGTTGCAGCTCTGTGATAGAATATTTGTATAATATCCATGAGGCCTTAAGTTCAATTCCCAACGCAGAAGAAGAAAAAAAAAAAGAGGAATGAGGCAAGGGCACAATTTCCATTCTCTTTTTTTCTGTAATCTGACCTGGGTTTGTTGACTCAGGTTGCTACAAGCTCTTCAACACATGCAAATTAGAAAGGCTGGAGAACAGGCATGGTGGTAGAATGATGCTAAGCTGGATACCAAGAGGTTTTCAATAATTTGCTCTAAACAAACCAAGGAAGAGGGCCAGGCATGGTGATGCATGCCTATTTCCCAGCACTGAGGAAGCTGAAGCAAGAGGACTGGTTTGAGTTCAAGGCCAGCATGGGTTCCAGATCAGTCTGGGATATTAAGCTCTTGTCTCATCCCTCACCCTCCCCAAAACCCTTCCAAAATGAAAAGTAACTTTTTTTAACTTCCCAGACTGTGATTCTTATCTCTAGAAGTTCAGTTAAGTGGTTTACATTTTCAGTAGGGCACAGGTAAAGGGGCTGCAGAAGAGTATTAGAAAAATGATGGGAAAGTCTTTGTGTCTAAGAGTGGGGAAACACCAAGATCAAGGCGTGGGTGCCCAGGATCCCATGTGGAGTCAAGACCGCAGCTGACCATCAGGGGAGGTGGGGAGTCCATTCTTGAGAATTAGTCCACTCAAGACTAGAAACATGTAGGCAAAGCCACTGCCTTGCACAACCTTGGACCTTGGGGGAGGGGGTTGTGTGGCGTGCAGCCACTCGGAAAAGGCTAAAACTGCTACCCACCAGCAGGAAGTCCTCCATCTTCCAATCTGCTCCACCATCAGACCACCACTAGAGGAATGTGGAACCCAGTCCCATGGTTGGAGACCACAGCTCCGGGTTCATGGAAGATGACCACAGTTCAGGCTCACAAGAGGGGTCATAATTTCAGTTACACTGCCTCCTACTGCTTTCCTGTCTTCCTCACTCTGATTATACTTATGTTTAAGAAAGAATATTTTGGCTTCAGACCAAGAACTACTACCATACTGCTGCCATCTTGGCTCCCCAGTTATTCTCTTTCTTATTTGCCAAGTCCTGAGTTCAGAATTTTGAAATCAGTATAAAAGCACCTAAGATCAGGAAAATACTCATCCTATGTGGTAAGATTCCTCACATAGTCCAGCACATACACGCAGCCTCTCAGGAGCTGGTTTGCCCCAGGGCTCAAGACCAGCTGCCTGGGGCATACCTCATTCCACTGCCTTGATTACAACTTCCAAAATCTAAAAATTATTTTATTTTAACTTTTTAGTTATTTATTTTATGTGTATGAGTCTTACACCAGTACATATGTAAGTGTACCCATGTTATGCAGTGCCTCCAGAGGACAGAAAAGGACATCAGATCCCCTTGAAATCCCGTTTCCATTTTATTTTATTTATTGTTTTTATTTTATGTGTATGAGTGTATCGCCTGCATGTATATAAGTGCACCTGTGTCACACAAAGCCTGCGGAGGTCAGAAGAGGGTGTCAGATCCCCTGGAACTGCAGTTATGGACAGTTGTTAGCTGTCATATGGATGCTAGGAATCAAACCTGGGTCCTCTGGAAGAACAGCAAGTGTTCTTAACCTCTGAGCCCCAGGTCTAAAAATTCTTAATGAAACTTAAAAGTATATCTGTTGGTCAGAAGTGGCCATGGTAAAAGTAGGTCAACATATATAATGTAGAGGTGCCTTTGAAATTGTTATATTGGTCTTTTAAGAAATTATTATTTAATCACTATTTGCTTGATAATTTATTTTTTAGCAGATAGTCTGAATCTGCCACAATTCAAACCTAAGAGTTACATAGCCATAATCTTAATATAATAGCATAAAAACATAATTATTACATAGCCAAATCTTCATTAGTTCATGCTTTCTAAAATTTCAACTAGTATCTAGCTTGGAAGGAATTTTGCCTCTTCTGAACTGACTAATAATAGTGTTGGTAGATGGACAGGGCAAAGCCTAGTGTTTGGAATGTAATTGCTGAAATTAACAGTGCTGGACTGGGGCTAGAGAGTGGTTACGAGCACTGGCTGCTCTTGCAGAGGACCCAGGTTAGAATCCCAGCACCCTGTAATTCCAGTTCCAAGGGGTTTGATGCCCTCTTCTGGCCTCTGAGAGCACTAGGCATGTCTGTGATACATATACATGCATGCAGTCCAGCTGGGGCTACAGGGAGACCCTGTCTCAAAAAATACCAAAAGAAAAAAAAAATCATTACATTCAAATAGGTTTCTGTTTCCTGCATAATTTCACCACCTGTTCATAATAAAGTAATTTCGCATCCATATTCCAAATAGGAAGGCAGCATTGTCAGGACCAAGAGATGAACATGCCCATGTATCTAGGCAAGAAATGCATAGTGCCTAGAGTGACCCTTAACTCTGGTGGGTCAGTGTGTAAAGAGCCACACTAGAGACTGAGTTTAGGGCTTAGGCCAAAGTTCCAGCACAATTCTGTCTCCCAAAATTAAATTGCCAGCAGAGAGTTCCCAGAGAAATACTTTTCTCTAGTAATCTTTAAGAGAGTCAAATGAGCCAGGTGTGGTGGTGCATGCCTTTAATTCTAGCACTCGGGAAGTAGAGGCAGGTAGATGAGTTTGAGTCTAGCCTGGTCTCCATAGCGAGTTCCAGGCCAGCTGGGACTACAAGGAGACCCTGTCTCAAAAGAACAACAACAAAAAAAAGAGAGAGAGAGAGAAAGAAATCAAATGTGCCACACTGGTGTTCTGTCCTTCCATGACTAACTGCCATACAGAGTTAATTGGCCAGTATATCATGGAGCCCTGTGCAGAGCTCTCCAGTCCTAACATACGAGACTTAGTTGTCAGAAGACCACCTGGTGTCAGAATGCTCCATGTTCAGTTAGCCCTCTCTCCACTTCTTTTTCCTATACTTATCCTAAAATTAATAAAACACTGTTCAGTTTTCCATCCTGTAAGATATAGTTATTAACAGGCTCCTGGTATAACTCCTAACTCTACCAGTTGAGGAACTATTGTCACCTTAGGTTATAATTAATTCTATGGTCAGTAGTAGACTTTGGCTGGAACACACACTAAAAGCTGTCTCAGGATGAATACTTTGCAGTTGTGTAAATTATGGTTTACCTCTATTCTGACTGAAAATACAAATACAAATCAAGGTTTCTTCCTATTGCTTAGACTTAGAGCTGAAATCAGCATACTGAGCTTTATAGACAGGATGAAATTCAGCATACTTAAGAAATGCAAATGTGTGGGTGGGTTTTCTCTATTAATGGCTATAAATACTTAATGGCTATAAATACAAAGGTCTGGAATCAAGGTTAAAACCTTAGTAAATAATTTGCAACTTAATTGCTATATAAACAAGGTAATTCTTGAATTTCTAAATGTTTTCCCTGCTGAAATGTAATATCAAAATAAATCATCTAAGGAACTACATTTCCTTATATGTAGACAGGATTTAAATCAATTGCCAGTTTTTCATCACTTACAGACTCACTTCTCCCAACTTTTTGTGTACATATGAAAATATCTCTGCACTAAGCTATTAATAAAAGCTGATTCTTAGGTTAGTGGTTTGAATGTGGACTGTCCCCAAGGTTTCTATTAGAAGTCAAGTTTGAAATCTAACTTCCCTCATTCTGCCTTGATAATCTCAATTACCAGCTCACTTCAAAAGAGTGTCTTTTTTAAATGAGTAATTAATATCATTTGAAAAGTCCCAAGCACTGTGTGGAAAGTTCCTTTGAAAAATCATCTGCCTGTTTTTGCAGAGGTTTAAGAAGTGCTGTGAGAGCCAGACATGGTGTCATATATCAGTAATCCCAGCACTCAGGAGGCTGAAGGAAGAGGATTTTGAGTCTGAGCCTTGGCTACATACTGAGTGCTAGGCCAACCTGGACTCTGTCAAAAAGAAAAGAAAAGAAAAAAGTTAAAGTTCTTCATTTTTTGCACATTGTGGTTGTAGAATTTTGCCTGAGTCTAGGTGGATGATTTACATTCTTTAATTTTAAAATTGTGTTTTATTCCCTAGCTCTTGTAGTAGCTGTTCTGCGCTTCATACAACTGAAACCAAAGGTTTTAAACCCATGGCTGAATATTAGTGGATTGGTGGCACTGTGTCTGGCTTCCTTTGGAATGACCTTGCTTGGTAATTTTCAGGTACTTCCTTTGGCCTTTTTTGCTTCCCTCTCACACTGGTAAGGCCTACACTCCACTTCTAGATTATTGCAGCCCTCAGGGACAGTCACTATATGGCCCTGCATGAACTTCCAAAACAAGTAGGATGAGCTAGAGAGATGGCTCAGCAATTAAGAGCACTGGCTACTCTTGCAAAGGACCTGGGTTCAGTTCCCAGCACCCACATGGTGGGTAACAACCATCAGTAACTCCAGTTCCAGGGGATCCACTGCCCTCTTCTCCCCTCCATGGGCATTGCAGACACAAGTGCACTTGCATACATGTAGGCAAAACATTAATACACATAAAATAAAAATAAAGTTTTGTGGTTTTTTCAGTAGGAACTTTGGGTCCAAGAATGATGGAAAGAAGGCTTTCCATCAGTCATCCCCAAGAGTCTCTGAACCTGTTCTGATCAGACTTACAGTGGGAGTGCTAATTACCCTGAAACACAGGATGACAATTGACAAACTAACAACTGGAATAGCTGTATGTTTTCTATGTAAGATTTTATAGGCACTGGAGCAATGGCTCAGCAGTTAAGAGCACTTGCTGCTCTTACAGAGGACCCAGGTTCAGTTCCCAGCACCCACATCGCAGCTAACAACCACCTGTAACTCTAGTTCCAGGGGATTCAGTGCTGTATTCTAGCCCCCATGGGCATTGCATGCATATGGTGTACTACATACAAGCAAAACGCTCATACATACAAAATAAAACAAATAAATCTTGAAATAAAAGAAACAACTTTGCCAGGCGTGGTGGTGCATGCCTTTAATCTCAGCGCTTGGGAGGCAGAGGCAGGCGGATCTCTGTGAGTTCAAGGCCAGCCTAGTCTACATAGTGAGTTCTAGGACAGCTGGGGCTACAGGGAGACCCTGTCTCAAAAAGACCAAAAAAAAAAAAAAAAGAAGAACTTTATACGAACACACTTTTCTTACTAGCAAATCATATTCCAGTATGTTTTTCTGGAAAAGCACTAAGATCACTGCCCTTTATAATTCAATACTCATCAGTCTTATTAATGAAAGCTTGCATTTCAGAATAGCAATCTTCATATGGAAAGTTTGAAAGTCCAGAATTTCTATAGAACATCTCTGACTCATAAAAGGATGTACTAACTCGAACTCATCTTCCTAGAGCTTTAGAAGCTACAGTCACAATGTGGAAGAACCAGTTCCCTTGGCAATACTTCACCCCTTGTCCTGAAGACTTCATTCATTGCAGTAGTTGGCTAATATCCCTGCCTCCATTCCCTCCATGCCCTCTTCCACCCTATGCTACTGCAAACTTTGTCTTGTGAACAAACACTGATCCTGATGCTCCTCCCCTTCCATTGAATGAAATGCAAATGTACAGGCATTCAAGACCCTCATCATTGTAGTGAACACTTATAGTCATGTCTTATGGTAGTGGGTTTTCTGAGATGCTTTCTTGCCCTGCCCCTGTTGTTGATTCATTAAACCAAGATCATTCATTCTTCAAGACTTCGCCTTAGTACACAGTAGCAACTAAATGAGTTTTGGGGGACATATGTTGTTTGCTTCTCACAAATGCTTCTATTTTAGATTCCATCCCATATCTCTAACCCCCAGCTATAATAATTCAAATGGGTCTTAGTCTTTTGACTCTACAAAAACCTTGAATAATGAGTCTTCAAACATTATTTTTCTACACTAGGTCTCTAAATCTAGCAGACAGTCATAAGTCACAGTTTTCTTTATTATTCTAGGAAAAAGAAACCCCAAAGAATTCCTCTTAACAATGATTAGGGCACAGCGCACAAATCAGCTGTCCCAAAGGGGAATCACTATGTGCTAATCAGATCTTAACATGTCAGAACTGGGTGGTCCTCAGTAAATACACAGCCACATCCTGAGTTCCATTTTCTTGGCTTGGGAAGCAATTTGGGATGTTTGCCCTTGGAAACTTGACAGTTCCCTCTCTTTAAAAAAAAAATATATATAT